GCTGACAGAAAAAGTTTGAAAGCCACTGCTCTACTGTGACATGTTACCGTGTAATTCAAACAAAGCAGTTAACCATAAAACTGGAGGTGTGTTGAGACGAAATTAAAAAACACAATTATTTCTTTTATTCAACTTTATTTCACAATTGTATGCCATTTATTGTGTTCTTTGTCATAATACCACACACAAATGTCAACTGGCTAAAACAATATAAAACATAACTTCCACAATTTTTTTCAGTATTTATATTATATACATGCACTCATATATTTAGAGGCAAAACAATTCTCAGGCTTTTTCGCTTACTCTCTCAAATGCACTTTCACTTCCTGTCGTCCTGCTGGTTGAGAGGCCATTCCAATGAGGATCCTTCAGCTTCTGACGCCTGATCCACTCATTTATACAGGGTTGTAGTTGATTTTGTGGGAGAACATAACCAAAAGTGACGCTTTTTGTAATTGATGGAGCGCCAAAATGAACACATTGACCGTTTTTGAAGCAGATGAGAAACTGGTGTTGAATGAGCAACACTGACTTCCAGTTGGATTTTACATCCTCCTGTAATGCTTCCCTTCTCTGAGCTGGACAGAGCGCCACTTCCTGCCAAAAATAATCACGGTTTTAGCTTACAACCAAGCGCCAGGATTGTCTTTTACCCGGCTTCGTATTTTTTTTGTATGCTTTTCCGGAAACTCAGGTGATGGATATGTGATAGGAACGAGACAAGGGATCAGGAGAAAAATGGGAGGATTCACTTCCATTGTTCGTCTGAATGCTTTGTCCCAGTTCCCACCCGTAATCATGAAACACTATCTACGATACCTGGGGGTTTGATATTAAAAGAAAAGAAAAAAAAATTGGAAGTTTAACAATAAACGTAATCTCCACGTCCGCCACAAGCGAGATAACTACACACAGAGTGGCTTGGACATTTCTACAGCTCTGTCGATACGATATTATGACTTTACAGAATGAATGGAGGCATGAGCAGGCTTTACAGCACTCATGATAAAACTGGAGATTATACAAGAGTTACAAATGACAAACGGCATGTTTGCAGAGGGCCATCAGCGATGCCTTAAAAATGCTTACATGTTGAGCTTTAAAAAGAGAAAAAAAAGAGGAGACCTAACAGGCTCTTGTCACCTGTTTAATAATGAGAGAATACTCAAAACTGAATTCTTATTGGAGTGGTCCGTCAGGTGTGTCACCTCCTTCAGTTCAGGCTGTGGGCGGCCGGCGCTCCTCTCTATGTGGGGGCGAACTTCTTGGCCTGTGCCCTTACCCTCTTCTCGTAGTCCATCCTGTTCTGACTGAAACACAAAGAGATGGAGACATTGTTCATTTCTAATGTACGCTGCTAATTTATTCAGGAGGTTACACGATAACATATCAGAGTAAGGGCTTGGCATTATATCCATATCATCATAGTGCTCGTCTGCGCGTGAAAGCAAACTGGGAAGGAGTTTTAATCACTCGATGTTTCGCCGCACTATAGACATTACGGCGAGACACCCCAGGTGAATAGGGTAATTTTTTTAACTTAAAGGTATCAGCTAGAAAGAAATTTCTAGCTGATACCTTTAAGTTAAAAAAATTACCCTATTCACCTGGGGTGTCTCGCCGTAATGTCTATAGTGCGGCGAAACATCGAGTGATTAAAACTCNTTCTAATAAACCTTGCATTGGGTTGGTCACACAATTCATTCTCTTGTGCTTTGTTCTATCTGAATTATGATAAGGAGTTATCACAAGCTGTTTAGTTGTGCTATCTTACAATCAATACTGTGTGTCGCCAATGTAACCGGTTAGAACTCGAAGTGGCGATGAGGTCTTAAAATGTATGGAAAGGGTCTTCAAAAAGGTCTTAAAAGGTCTTACATTTGACTTCAGGATTCCTGCATATACCCTGTTCTAGTAGGATATGCATGTCCCTATCAAAGTGTAGGATATTCTGCTCAGATGTTGAACAAAGATATTATTCGATCAGAGCAGGAAAATTGCAAAGTTTTGTCACGAATAAAGTACATAACAGATTGTCTTGTGTTTTAGAGATGAATTAAATCACAAAGTAGCAGTTTTTTACAACGACTATGTTGTACTGTGTATGAAATCTTCAGTTTTCCCATGTCAGTCTTGCTTCAAGCTTTAACATTTTTACTTTCTTTTCACTGACTTCCTCTCAGGCAAGTTTGAGCCCCCAATATTCCACCCGAATGTCTACCCCTCCGGCACCGTGTGTCTGTCCATCCTGGAGGAGGACAAAGACTGGAGGCCCGCCATCACCATCAAACAGGTCTGAACACTCTGTCTCTCTTTAACTTGTACAAACAGTTGGTTTGTTCACGTTTGAACCTGTGAACCTTTAGGCTGTGCAGTGTGCTATTGTCTCCTTTTGCCTCCTGGGTAAGGTCTTCTAATTGTAGGGTTCAGTGTCTGGACAAAGCGTTTGTGTGTACTGTCAAGTTGGAGTAACTGCTGTGAAGAAATGAATGCACAGGTTGTGTAGTTTCCATTTCACCAGCTCACTATCACACGCTGACCGGAGGATTGTTGACTTTGTTTTCAGATCCTGTTGGGGATCCAGGAGCTGCTGAATGAGCCCAACATCCAAGACCCAGCACAAGCAGAGGCATACACAATTTACTGGTGAGTGGGACTCTTTTGAGGACGTCTTACACACAGTAGCCTATCAGTTAAGCCGGAATCAAACATTTTAGATGTGTGCTCTTGCTGAGTACAACACATTGTATTCATGTTTTACTAAGCAAGGGGGAATAGGGATGCAGAAACTTTAAGTCAAGTCTATCTTCAAGTTATTTTACACTTAACTTGAGCATATTAAAGACTTAGATATAGACACATCCAAAAAGAATCCCTCTTAATCATCACTCATGACCCACTAGAGGTGTGTGGTGGGGTCAAGAATCAGAAACCGGTTTATCACCAGGTAGGTTGACACGTACGAGGAATTTGACATGATGTCGTGTGCATACATTAAAGTAAAACAACAATTCAAAACTGATAGAGCGGAATTCCGTGTGCTTATAGTCGGGGACAAAAAAAATAGGCCAGCAATGCTATAAAATGAGGTAAGGTAAAGGATACCATTTATGACGATATAAAATGATATAAAAAAGTTACAATAATATCAAAAAAGNTAAGATAGCACAACTAAACAGCTTGTGATAACTCCTTATCATAATTCAGATAGAACAAAGCACAAGAGAATGAATTGTGTGACCAACCCAATGCAAGGTTTATTAGAAAAAGAAACCATTAGAAAGTAGTATTTGATTTAGGCTTTGTTCCCAAGAGATAAAACCAAAAACGATATATATGTTAACACTTTTCTCGTTCTTAATATAGACTATAGAGGAGCAGCATCGGCCGGACTCCGCTGCTCCTCCCTGCAGAGAGTCTGCAGCGGTGTGTGTCAGCGACGTGCAGTCAGGGGAGGCACGGATTGGCCATCGGGAGAATCGGGACGCCGCGGCTTACTTAGCATGTGGGACCAGACAGCTTTGATCCCCATCGACAGAGGTGATTCTAGAGTCTGTGGGTCCCTCGAACCATCTTTCATCACCATCAGTGGCGCCCCAAAACACACTCCTCCTCCCTCCGCTAAATTGATTTATCAACTTTTAATACTTTTTAAGACCCCGCGGACACTCTGTAGAAACATAGCTCAATAAAGCTTTGATTAACTAACTTCTTAGCATACACTATACAACGATATGCTTTTGAAATTGAAAGCACAAAAGCAGTGTCTAAATAGACATTCTGAATACAATGATATAATGCAAGTGTTGAAAAAAACTGCCATCCTTTGCTCAAGGTTCGTATTCAAACAAGACGGCAAGGTACCGACTTTCTGAAACTATGTAGCAGGTGTGGACTTATACTCACATTTGGGCGGAGAGGAAGGGTAGTCGTCTTTGAACAGCATTCTGAGTTTATAGAGTCCTCCCTCCCACAAAGTCTAATGAAGAAAACAAACAAAATAATAACTGCTTTAGTAAACATACAACGAAATAGAAACAACTGCAAAGGACTCAAGACACACGAATGACCCGAAGAACAATGGCCTATTTCAGTGTTGTTCTGGACTAGATCTAAACCTGAAGGGGGCAATTAAGTGGATTTATGATTTAAATGTATTTTACATGTACCATTATCAGGTTATCCCTAATATGCATGACACAGATATGAACAGCTGTAATACACGTTGATTAAGATGCATGTACCATAATAAAAGGACAATCTTGTAAAATTCTGCCATTAGAATGATTTTAACTGAAGTTTTGCAAGTGGCACAGAAACTACACAGATTGCTAAAGTATAGTCAAATGTTAATGCATGTGGAAGATTCTAATGCTGGTCTACTTACTCCTTTCTTCCCTGGAATGGCACACTCCCAGTTCATCAGGTTCATGGTTCCATCAGGGTTCTTCGTGGGCACCGCAACGAAACCCTGTGTAGTTTAAAAGAGAGACAACACATCACTAGGGAGTGTAGTCTACTTTGTGCCAGAACCAATCATGGGCATGATGGTATATGAAGTGTAAAGTAACCAACGCATTTACTCAAGTACTGCACTTGAGTATACATTTGAGGAACTTGTACTTTACTTGAGTATTTCTATTTTATGTCACTTTGTACTTCTACTCCACTACAGTTCAGAGGTGAAAACGAAAAGTGTACTTTTACTCCATTAAAATGCATTCAATAACCGTAGTTACGTTGTAGATTATAATGGGAAATATAACCAAGTGTTAAATTAGACTTGAGTTCCACCTGGAGTAAATTCACAAGCTACCCTGCAGTATACAAAGTCATTCAAACTAGCTGCACCTTTACCAGCTTTGAGAACACTTTCATGATCAATCATTATAAAACATATCATATATATTATTCTGAAATGGACCAATCTGCAAAATGACTACTTTTTACCTTTGTACATTAAGTACATTATATATGTTAATAATACCATTATGTACTTTTACTTGAGTAACATTTTGAATGCAGGACTTTTACTTGTAACAGAGTATTCCTACACTCCGGTACTTCTACTTTTACTCAAGTATAAGATCTGAGTACTCCTTCCACCTCTGAATATGAGATCTTAGAGACGATGCAAAGAGTTGATTTGAAATAAGGTTCAACATGCTGCTGCTACTTACAAACGGATGGTCTTTTCTCCAGGCTTTTCGCTCCTGTGACAGTCTGCTAAGCGCGATACCAGACATAGCTGCTCATCAACGCCTCCCTGTGGAATAAACAACCCAAAACAGATTAATTATCCAATTAAAAAAAATCACCAAAGACAAGTTAGTTAACCCCAATTCACTGTTCTGTAAAATCAGTACATGGTAGCTACAGCATTTAAGGTTTGCCATTAATATTGAATGCAGACAATTGTTGGTAAATAGATATTGTGTTTTTATATTAAATGTTGATTATTTAAAATTATTTAGTTAGAGGCTTTAAATAAGACCAATGTTTGTTTTTTTGCCTCATCCATCACTGTTTATCATTTGTTATGTTTGTGTATTATTAAATTGTGCAAAAACAATTAAGACACTGATTGACGTTGTTATGAGGCTACCGTTAGTAGAAATTACAAGCTAAATCAAGCTAATGTAATCCATTACAAATGGAAACACTTACAACACGTAGAAAAAAATTAAAGGGAACATTGTAGCTCAACTTACCTCCCTTTTTATTCGACTAAATATCAGAATTACGTGGGTTTTACAACGTTAGCTTAAATGCTAACGCTAATGTCGCTGTTGTTGACGGCGGACGTAAAAAAACACCCTTTCGACGGTTTGAAAACAAACTGCCGGGCCAGTTAGGAAGAAAAAGACCAAACGGAATTAAACCTGTATTATTTAAACATTCCCCTTGTAATCTGATCGTCATATATCGGTGTTATTCTTGACAATTTACCACAGTTGTGTAAAACAATGTGACTCGTTACACCGTTTCGACAGCTAGCTTGTCGCAAGGAAGGACCCCAATTTGTTTATTTCCTGAGGACCTTCAGGCAGTTGACGGGACACACGTCAGAGTTGTTCGGCCATCTTTGTTGTGGCGTTCATTATGGGCAGTTCTCGCCTACGGAGGATCCACTCATTTGGACTCGTTCCTCCTTAACGAATCACCTTTAACTACACGTTTTTTGTTTAGTTCATTTATAAATGTCTTATTCACATCAATATATATTGCATCTATAACATCTGGGTAGTATTTAGTAGGCATGTGCACTATTTATAAATATTATTTAAGTAGATGGGACTGAATGCTATTATAATATAATTGTTGTATCAAGTCAAGTAAAATGTAAGTTGCGCTTTTAAGTCATGAAAGATGTTGTCTTAACTGCTTTAAGATTATTGATAATACTTTAAAATACATTTAAACAAAGGTGCTACCTGCCTATAACTATGGTTCCTCAGGTTCAGTAAGCAAGTTCACTCCTCGAGAAGAATCGTTCAAAAAGAGTTGTTCGTTCTCTTTTGCCCAGTGGTAATGGCCTTTTGTTTTTCTATTTTTTTGCTTTTCACCCCCAAGGAGCATAGCAACAGCTGACATCACAAAAAAGTATTGTTATTACCTATAATGTTAAAAAAGATGCCAAATTGCAAAAGACGATGATGCAGGTTGAAACAAGTGCACAGGTTTTGATGCAATCTCCTAAGGCACTCTTTAAAAAAAGAGTCTTACCCACTAGTTTATTAATTATTTTTGTTACATTAATACACATTTATGGTCCTATTTGAGTCAAATATTATATATTTGACTGGTACACAAAGTCCCACCGTTGTGTAACAAAAGACTCAATGCAAAAACGTTGTTCTGAAAATCGGGCATATTGCCAGACACCTCAAATCAAGAACAGGAACCGGACTGAACCAGTTTTGATTTCCTCTGCGTCAGCATCCCGGTTTTTTTCCTTTTTTTGTTGAAACAATCTGAGCAGAACCTGCATTCTTTTTGAGGGCCTATTATCTCCTTAATTTGTATTTATTTTTTAAAGTTTCACAGTTCACACCAAGTTACATATAAGTAACTTTGCAAAAATGTAAAAAAACAAATTGCACTTTTTTGGCATCGGAATCAGCACTAGATATAAGAAAATAGGTTCCTTTAATTCAGATGAGTTGAAAGGAAGACTTGATCAATAATTATTTATCCAACCTACAGTGTGCAGCCCTTCTGAATTTTCAGGTTATCGAATAAAGGAGTTGTGCCTCCATGTCATGCACTCTGGACATATTTCAAAGGTAAAAAAGAGATGACACTGTGCATGGCCAAATTTAGCATAACAAAACCAACCATTTATTTTCACATTTGTAACATTCATCAATACATCAACTTGACCTGCTTCCATCATGAAATTGCACTTATTACAACAATAAAATGTCCCCTATCTTAATACATTTTAGAGTCCTTTAACTACGATATTATTGAGACACAAACAAAACATTCATGTTATTTCCAGATATTGCAAACCATTCTAAAATATGAAACTGTAAGGAAAGTCAGATACGTTGGTAGATAATTAGCTCCTGAAAAGTGTTAAGTTAGTTATTACGTTTCGTAACAAGCTCCTAGCATGTACTATCTCCCCAGAATAACAAGAAAGTACACTATGAGGCTACTGTGATACTCTTTATCTATCACTCTTGTACTAAGAGCCTTGCTTCTTATCACACCTTCTTTCCCTCTCCCTCTGATATGATATACTCCGGAGATGCCCTTTTAAACCATTCAGACCAGGAGCCGTCATAAACACAGACCCCTGGGTGCCCGAGCATATCAGCAGCCAGAACAACGTGGCAGGCCGTGACCCCGGAGCCACAGGTGGCCCAGAGCGGCTGCTGCAGATCCACCCCCGCCGCGCTGAACAGTTTGGACAGGCCTTCAGTGTCCAGCTGCTTCCCAGAGGCGTCCATGAAGGAAGGGAACGGCATGTTGATGGTACCGGGGAAATGACCCGGCAGTGTGTCTGTGAGGGTGAAACAGAGGAGTGAGAAACATCTGTGGGAAAACCTTGGGCAATACTGACATTACTCAAAGAAAAAAAACACAACTTGAGGATCTATAATCTGATATTTCTTGAAGTTTTCAGACACATCTCATTGAACTGATCGGCAGATAGTAGCTTAGTCTGCATTGATAGTTCAGTTGGCATCAATTACAGTTAGACAATCTTTATCTTGCACTATTTATTTTTTTATTACGTATTGTATGTTGCATTGTTAGAGGAGCCAACATCTACGCTATTGTGCATGAGACAATAATGAATATTTAAGAGCATGATATGTGGATAAATACATGTAGTAGCGAACTACAGTATGCCTTTTAAACATGCATTGTATACCTGTGGTGTTTATTTTTATTATTTTATTATCTTTGCTTTGTAATGTCTGTTGTAAAATTATATAATGTGCTTTTAATATATTTATTCCTAAAAAGTCTTTTAATTTGTTTTGTAAAGCACTTTGAATTGTCGCGTACAGAAAAGTGCTATATAAATAAACTTACCTTGCCTTGCCTTGCCTTGCCTAATAAGTGGACTACTACTCAGTAGGAGAATGCAACTGAGCAGATAATGTCAAGTACTTAAGTATGATTTTGAGGTTTTTGTAGCGTCTTTACTTGAGTATTTACATTTTTTATACTTTTTAGACAATATTTTACTGGTTTGTTAGAGTTACTAGTTACTTTACAGATTCAGATTATTGACGCATATAAATATAAATAAAGAAGTAAAATAACGTTATATTTTTAGGGATTAAGATACAGGCCACTAAATAAAGTAGTTAAGATCTCTACATAATGCATACATAATTACAACCAAGATATATAACACATACAATTATGAAAAGGCCATTCTGCAAGATGAGTATACTGTTGGAAATATACTTTGATACCAATACTTTTGCCAGTACTTTTACTAAGTAAGATATTTTATTACAGTGTGAATGCGGTGCTTTTATACT